ATGGATTTTTATTTTTTTTGAGACAGAGTTTCACTCTGCCGCCCCAGCTAGAGTGCAGTGGCATCATCATAGCTCACAGCAACCTCATACTCCTGGGCTCAAACGATCCTCCTGCCTCAGCCTCCTGAGTAGTTGAGATTATAGGCATGCACCATGACACCAAGCAAATGTTTTCTATTTTTAGTAGAGACAGGGTCTCACTCTTGCTCAGGCTGGTCTTGAACTCCTGACTTCAAGTGATCCTTCCACCTCAGCCTCCCAGAGTGCTGGGATTACAGGCGTGAACCATTGCAACTGGCTGATAAAATATATTATTTACATTAATTGTAAAAACACAAGATCAACGTTGTTTGTGGATGGAAGACCTACCTCTAGCTTCACTGAAGAGAGAGGGAGAAATGGAAGATAAAAATACAGCCTTTGACTGTATATATAAGGTTTATTTTCTTTTAAAATCTTATCTCGTCAGTAGAGCCAAGCACTCTATTCTACAGTTACCTTATTTTGTTCCTATTCTTTTTTTGTTGGTGGTGGTGTTTTATTTTCTTTTAAAAAAATCAAATTAGAAAAGAGAACTGATCATCCACCGGGTGTTTGAAAAGGGAATATTAGATAGATAATAAGATGCATCACTTACAACCTCTCCAGGTAGATGATTGACTGAATTTGTCAGGGTCTGGGTATTTGTGATGTAGAATTAGGAATATGTCCTCCATTAGGGAATAGGATTTAATTTGAAGATAAGTTGTACAATGGCTTGAAATTAGGAATTAAAGACCAGGGAACAGTGAAAGTCCCTGCTAGTTGAAGCTGAGTCCTCAGTGATGATGTCTTGCTCTGGCTGGTCTTGAACTCTTCACCTCAAATAATCCTTCTGCCTTGGCCTCCTAAAGTGCTAGGATTACAGGTGTGAGCCACCATACCTGGCCCTGCAAAGTTTTTTTTTAAAGTCCTGGGACCCTTTCTTCAAATAAAATCTCACATGCGATCACAATATACAAAACATGTAAAAGAAGACCTTTGATCAAAGCAAAGTGGCATGTGGGCCAGAGCTGAACCTCTACTTGAAGGTACTGAAAGTTATCCTAAGACTGGAGCATTTTGAAAGGTAATTTCTAGCAGTAACAAACCATTAGAAATCTTTCTCTTTTTATTGATTTAACTGTCATTAATATAACTACATGGAAAAATATTCAAGTAGTACAAAAAGTATACAGTGAAAAATAATTCCCTCATTCTAGAACCCAATTCCCCCATCCCTTTGCCTAGTAGTAAATATAGTTAGCAGTTTCTTATATATTTTTCCAGAAACATTCAGTGAACATGCAGGAATAAGTATGTATCCCCTCCCCTTTTTTAAATCACAAATGAGATCTTGCTGTTTATATTCTTCCCCATCTTGCTTTTTTCATTTAACGTATTAACCAATATAGATCTACCTCATGCTTTTTGAATACCTGCTCAGTAATCTAATAAAGATTAAAAACTTTAAGTATTCCTTATTGATGGAAATGTATGGTTTAGTCTTTTGCAATTCAGTATTGTGATAAATATTCTTTATTGCCACATGTGTGAGTATATTTCTAAGATAGAGTCCTTTGACAACTTTTGAGTAGGGAAGTGTTAATATTAGACAAACCTGATGTTAGGGTGACCAGGACAAAAAAAAAAAACCAAAAAACATTTTCGCATGGTATTCACAACCTTTTAATCCTCTCTCTGTTCTTTTAGAAGTATTTTCTTTCCCCTGTTATGTTAGCTCTGCTTCTTTTGCATTAAAGAGGAGTTTTTATTTTAGTTCATCAGTTAGATAATACTTAGACTCTTTGCTTCCTGTGCTTCCTAGTGTATGTGGATATTTTACATAGAATAACATGATTTTTCTTTGATACTATATTTTTTTTTCAATCTCTTATGCATTGACTTCAGTTGCTTTCTAGAACTGTCTTAGCTATTCCAATTAAAAATTTAACTGTGGTTCTTAGTTAAGCAAAGGTTTAGGTCTTTTGCTTGTTCTTTGGAGCCCCATTTGTAGACGAAAGGACCAGTTAACCAGGCATTATCTCTCTTTTTATCTTTCTAAGCTTTATATCCGTGTTAGACATTTCTAAGCCTAGTCAATATTTAAATTCATAGACTATATCTACAGTTTAGTTGATCCATGGATGTTAAATCTTGCTCAAATGTTCCCTTAAATTTTTTATATCTTTTTCATATGTCTTAGGATAACATCATCCCCACAGATATCTTATTGCAAAGGAATATTTAATCCTTTGGATAGACAAGGATACTCCCTGTATAAATTATTTACTGAGCAATATGAAAACCAGTGCTTTACTCTTGGATAATTTTCTCATCATTAGGTCTCTTGAGGTATAAATAAGACTAGAGTAAATCTTTAAAAGATTTAACAGAAATCTATAATTTAGCATGATACACATTTAGAGAGAGAATCAAGGCCAATGAGAGAAAGGATAAGGAAAAAACGGAATTAAATTGTTAAATATTTTAATGCAATATGAATTTTTGTTGTGTTTTTTGGTTTGTTGGGGTAGGGGGTTCTTTGTTTTTTAACCACCAAGCTTATAAAATTCTGATAACAACTTGAAAGCTAGTTTAATTCAATCTCATCATTTTTTAAGTAAGGAAACTATTTAGGAATCCAGATCACAGGCTGGAGCACAGAGCACCTAATTGTGAGCAGGCTTCTGTTTGAGGATAAAATAAATTGTTTGTTTACAGTGCTAGTTAAAAGTGTCAAGTGACAAAGGAAATCAATTCATTTAACATATTCATATTTTCAACCACAATATACTATACTTAATTTCTTGAAGTAACTGTTTCTGAAAATGTAGATAAATAAAAATTTTATAAATAGAATCATTTTCTTATGAACGCATTACATTCAGAGAATAATTTTGTCTGCTGTCTAATAAGGTATTTTTGCCGATCTCGTATTTCCCAAAGTCCCTTAGCAGAAAAATTTGTTGCTTGGTTAGTGTTATTATTTTGCTATTTAAGATCCTAAAGTATAATATATTCAATGTTCAGTTGCCTGGAAGTTATCTAAACATGTAGTTACATAAAAGCCTTTGTTAGAACTTTAGAAAATAGTGGACTTGGTAAAAGTCTAACAGTTCTACTGTTAGTGCTTCTACTAAACCCAAAGAAGAAACACAGCGACCATCTCTTATATCCTTCCCAATTATTGTATCTCACTTGAGGTTACATTATAAAGGAAAAGTACAGTTTCACTGAATCTGCTTCTGTGCTTTTAACTCTCACAGAGAATTTTTGTCATTGTTAACAGAGGTAAAACCATTCTTTTAAGAAAATTCTTCTAGGAGAAATATCTATTCATAAGTCTATTCTTGTGTGTAATTTCTGAATCTTCAGTCCATTCTGTAATTGTACTTTTAATACTAAAGTATTAGTGCAACTGAATCATGGGGAGCTGGTCATGTGTACATTTCATAGCCAACATGTCTCACCCTGTTACGTGAATTTGAACAATATTATTAGTAACAATTGATCATTGAATCCTGTTGTAGTACATAAAAATCATCATGCAAGGAAGAAGTGGTCTGTGGTCTGCCATTTTCATAAATTTTGATTTTTGTGTGTTTTCACAATTGTTATAATTATCATTTTAGTAAAATACAACAAATTTATGTTACCCAGTATGAGTGAGCATTATGATATGCATTAATTGCATATCATACCTTATCAGTTTTAAACAAGTTGGACAAAATGTAAATTATTAGAATCTTAGAGATATGCTGACACAAAAGATATATTGAATATAATTTTGTCATTTATTATAGTGATTTTGGGTCATCACAATCGGCTTGAATTATCTTACTATTATAGTTATATAGAATTACTACTTAAAAGAAAGTTTTGGTTAGAGAAATTCCAAATAATGTACTTTTTGATCCTTTAGATCAGAGTTTTTCATCCTTAGCAGTACTAACATTTTGGGCTGGATAATTCTGTTTGGGTGGGGGCTGGGGGATGGCCTGTGCATTGTAGGGTATTTAGTAGCATCTCTGGCCTGCATCTACTCAATGCCATTAGCATCCTGTCAGTTGCGACAATCAAAAATGTCTCCAAAACGTTCCCTGATGGTAGGAGTGGGGAGTGTTACAAAATCATCTCTGGTTGAAAACCACTGCTTTAGATTACGGGGAAGATCTGTAATGAATCAAATCATTTACAATCTTTTCATCTTTTGCACATTTTCTCCTGTTCAGAACAACAAATATGTTTTTCACCATAGTGTTTTATATTAATTTTCAGTTGTAGTTATCTTTATCCTAACTGGTTAACTTTATAAATAAAAAATTCCGAAGTTACACATTAGAAACTGTACTCTTAATGAATGACTTTAAGCTAAAAGATATACCTATTAGATATTTTTCTATAGGAGAGTGTGTTATAGATGAGAAATCATGTTATTATAGTCTGTTCATTTTGATCTCATGATATCTGGGCTCTTTTTGGACACAGAAGAATCGGTTGGTGATGATTTGGAACTCAAAATGGAAGGGGTATTCATAACATGTGGGGTCAGACAAGGGGCTATTATAGGAATGCAAGTGTCAGAAAACTGGAAATAGGTGGTCCCTGGATAGCTGAACTGTTTTTATTTTAATGAATATATTTTCTTAAATGATCTGAATAACTAAGTTTCTATTGATTCTTACATACTATTTAGAAGTATACAAAAAGTTTAAATATGTTTAATTCTTTTGAATAATTTCCCTATTTAATACTGAGAATTAGGGAGGGGAAAGGAGGGAGTGGGAGAAAACCTACCTAATGGGTACAATGAACACTATCTGGGTGATAGGCACACTTATAACCCTGACTCAAACATAACAAAATAGATACATGTAACCAAAAACATTTATACCCCCATAATATTTTGAAATTAAGAAAATTAGTGAAATTAAAAAAATTTTTGAAAAAATTAACATTTTTTTCCTTCTCTTATAGATATGGAGTCTGGAGAACGGTTACCATCCTCAACAGCCTCCTCTACTACACCAACTTCATCTTCTACACCTTCTGTGGCTTCAGCAGTTTCAAAAGGCGGCCTTTCCACTGGAGTTGCTTCACTTAGCTCTACAATCAGCCCATGTGGTGAATATCCCTTTTTTTTAACTCAATTTAGAATGCCATTCTTTTAATAATCTGTATTCATCATGTTTTATTGAGCTCTGAATAAAATGTTTTCATGACCCCCATTGACCTGTTGAGCAATGGCTAGATTAATTTCTTTGCTTTTTCTGAATTTTACACTGGGGTACAACTGGTTATTCCATGCTTATTCAAAATTCTCTTTGAGAGTTTAATCTTAATATCTTAATTTA